TAAAGGCACAGACCTCTCATATTGCATGCTTGTATAATGGCTCAACTTGTTTTTAGTCAATTCTTCATTCAGGGTCATCAACCTATGATGATGACCTCTGCTCTATGGCAATGGTTCTCAGAACGGGTCACATACCAGCAGCATTAGCATCATCTGGGTAAACATTTTCAGACCTCACCCCAGACCTACTGCATTGGTGCCCACCAATCTGTTTTTAAAAGCCTTTCAGGTAATTATTTTACATGCTAGCATTTGAGAACCTGAGAACCACTGATCTTGCATGTTAGAATCAGAATGGACACTCAGATCTCAATCAAGTAGAATGAGCACTTTTTTTGAAACTGGACTGTACCCCTGGAATAGTGCAAGCTCCACAACAGAGGATGGGAAGTTGAGTGCTTAGCAGAGTAACAAATCAAGAGGACAGAGACCCTACCAATAGGCACTACAAGTAGAAGCAAAGGCTGGCCTAGCAGGTACATTAGGTATTTGCACGACAGAGGTCATTTAGAGGTCTTCAAAGCAGGCTTGGTAACAAATGACTGGGATTCAGAGGCAGAAATCAGGTGCCTGGTAATACAGACAAGAGAAAGACATACCTAACCTCACAGGACCAGGATCCTAGAGGTGAATCAAGGCAGGAGGAACTCTGAATTCCAGGGAACAAAATAGGAGACAGTTACAGAATTTTGTTACATAACAATCCTGAGGCCATGTCATTACAGGTCTGCACTCAAGGTGAAATTAAAACTTAGATTCAATGAGGGGAATCCGGGCAGTTCAGTCAGTTGAGCATCCAGCTCTTGATTTGGGCTCAAATCATGATCTCATTTATGGTCATGAGATCAAGCCCTGTATCAGGCTCCACACTGAGCACAGAGCTTGCTTGGGATTCTCTCTCTCTCTCTCCATCTCTCTCTCTGTCCCTTTCCTGTTCACTCATGTGTGCACTCCTTAGATAAATAATTAATTAATTAACAGATAAACATTAAAAAAAATAAAAGATTCAAAGATAGACAACCGAATTTCTGAACTTGGGCTGGTTATGAACTTCTGAATAAAAGCATTTAAAGGTTTTATAACATGGGGTATAGCAAATATGCCTGCCTGAGGGTCCACATGGCTTCAGGAATTAGAAAAGTACAGAGGTGGAGACAAGAACCTAGGCACATTATTTCCACAAGACCCTTGGATTTCTCAGCTGAAAAACTGATTACCAACCACACTGTGGCTGTCATTACGCCTGTAGAGCAGGGTGAATCTGCTGCTTCTTTGCTTCTCCTCACTGTTTGATAATCTGTAATGCTTTATTACCTTTACTAAATGAATAGTCCTGCTTTCAATTCTTAATTAAGCAAAGACATATGCTGTGGATTGCATAACTTTCCATATTCGGGTTGCTATGCTTATAGATGTCCCCTTGAAGATGTGACATTGATACTAAATTCCAGGTGTGGTTTGACCAGTTAAGCTTAGATTAAAACAATAACATTCCTTGTTAGGGACATTTCTATGATTTTTCTTGGCTGTTCTCATTACATTGAGTAATGTTAACCTATCAACCATAATTCCCAAATTTAATTTGCATGTATTGATTGCTCATAAAATGCAAAGTTATACTACAACTGGGATACTACACTTTATCCTCTTTCTCAGTTTCATGATGTGGATCACTTTGGAGTGTAGATCTGCCATATCTACTGATAAAAGTGTAGCAGGAAGGCTAGTGAAAATTTAAGCCACAGATACTCTCATACATCTGTCTGTCAAGCTTCTGAATTCAGGTATTTCCCCGCTGCATGATACAATAATTGAAAACAAACTCAACATTACTAAAAATATTTATGAAAAAAGTTAACCAAATTTTCAAATATTGATTCTTCTAATCTGCATGTGTCACTCCCAATTCTTTTCAGGCACAGTTTTAATGTCCTTGCTCTGCAAATACTCCATGGTACTCCTCAGCCTGCAAATCTTTTGGAGGTTCAATAAAAATTATGGTACAAAATCAAGTTACTAATTAGGCTAGTCTTGAAATAAAACATAACTTTCTTTGACAGGTCTCTTTCAACATGAAAAATGAGTAGCATCAAAATAATTCCTGACTTTTAGAAGACAGTGAAAAATCTTAATAATAGCCAGATCCAGAGTGACCAAAATTTCAAAACACCTGTAAATATGTGATAGATTTCTTTTCCAGCACACAAGGAGTATACCATGTGGGCTATTTGACTCACTGGATGGCATCTTCTAACAAAGCCACAATTCAAACTCTTCAATGTTGAGGGAAAAAGGGGGCAGTTCACATAACAAGGCACTTGAATAAACCAGAAATGGTGATGAAAGTGACATTCATAGACAGGTTAAGGGGCCCTGACAATAACCTAAATGGTGACTAACAAGCCTTGTATCCTCCTTGGTTACAACAGTTTTCAACACAGACACGACTGACTTTTGTGCTTTTAGGATTAATAATCTAATATTTGATCCTAAATCCTCTGTAGAAATATTGCTATCTTTTTTTCAATAAGTTGTTTTCTCTGAAAACTCACATGACCTGTCACATAATATCAAGCCTGAAATTATCAACTAGTGACTTTTCCAAGCTTCCTCAAGTAAAATTTTTGTTTTGTTTTGTTTTTGTTTAATCATCAAAAGATTTCCAATGCACAGTGTAAACTTTGTCTAGCATATGCAAGTGAAAGTTTTCACATTCAGAGGGCATAGCGTCTTCATAATGCTACCTGTTTCGCTAGCAGTTCACTTCCTTAATTCATGTTAAACTTGAAGCAACTGTTGGCCAATATGACAGTTTTAAACAACGTGAAGACCGTAACCGATTTAGGACACTTTTTGACTTGTAAGAAACTGCAGTGAACAGAAAGCAGTTGACTTAGGCCTTCTTTGATAAAAATTTTTCAGGTCTGACCTCCAGTAAATCATCTAAGACAGGGGTGGGGTGGTAGATGGGCTACATGAGTGATGTTGGATAGACAGAGGGTTAGAGAGTCCTTATAATTTGGGCAGACACTCCAAAATGTTCTGCTACAATCTATTCAATAATTCTTAAAAGAGAAACCACAATATCAAATAATGATCTTTAACTTTTAAACTCATAGTCAATTCATTCTACTTGAATAGCTAGGAAACATATACCCAGATATAATCCAGATTATAGATGTGAACTGGAAAGTTACCAGAATCTGACAGCAAAAGTCCTGTGTTCCAATGTGGAAAAACTTCCTTTGGTTGAATTTTCTTTAGTATGGCAAATATATTTCTCAATTAAGATAGAATTTAACTTCAAGTATAATTTAAAATGGTAGTAGAACAAAATTACTTTCAGAAGAAAAAAAAAAACATGCTCAATACTCTATGCTAGTTTACTCTGTTATGGAAATAGTCACAAGGCTCTTTAATTATTATTTCATTAGAATTTGTAATTAAATGAATGGCAGCTACCAACTTAGTTCTTCAGAAGTGCACCTGTTCAGAATGCAAAACATGACCTAATAAAGGATGACAAAAATTTTATAATTTCATTTTGTTTTAAAAATAGAACTAAGCAAATCAGATGACCAGCTAGATCAGGATAATGTCCATAGAGAAGCAGAGAATTGCTGACATAAAGCGTCACAACACTAATGAAGTCAAGTGAAAATCATCTAACTTATGTGTTCAGAGTTATCACCTTTGTTTAAAAAATGAGTGGTCATTGTGCTTCTTTTAGATTGTAACCAATTTCCACGCAGTTCTTTTTCTCCTAAAGGATCACATAACCTCTAACCCTTCCATGGATACTCACCTTTTTTTCCTCATACTGTTATACAGTTTTTGAGTTACATCATATGTTTCCAGAAAACAAACAAACAAACCCTGTGAAATGAGTTAGTTAGTGCATATATACTCATACTTCGTTCCTACACCCTGTAGGGTCTCCCCACCTAATCATAGAACACACAGAAGGCGTTTGGTAGCCAACTGGCACAGGCTAGAAGGATTTCACAATACAGAGAGAAAGCACTCAACATTAAGTGAGCTGTGGTATACCAACCACAAAATCATATATTTATTTTTCCAACATGTTTTCTTTTATTGATAAAAACTACACAAAAGCTAATTGATAATTAATTTAAAAAGCAATGTTATACATTATCTTGTGTTTAGAAATTTGTCAACTTGGCAGTTTTATTCATTGACCACATGGCCATTGTTCTTCATAGGACTGAATCCATATGAGAAGATTTCTGCTGGTCTTTCCAACCAGAAGTCTGTACAGATCCCTTTCAGAATCCTTACACAGTGAAAAGTCACAGTGAGGACTGCCAATAAGAAAAAAAAGCAAATCAAAACTCCTCATACTGTGTACTTCGTGTGTTTTGAAGGATCATTCACCCAGATTTTAGTGGATTTTCATTCCAGTAGTTTTGTCAAACTCTGTGGTCAACTTTATTTCTTTGTGGCCTGTCGTAAAGCAAAATTTCTTTTGGTACAACATAAGCTTTAATGCCCATGTTTAGGATTGGAAACAGATTCACTTGACCAGGAAAAAAAAAAAAAAAGAAAAGAAATCAAACAGGAACAAACAGCATTTTAGAGGAAAAATGAAATAAAGCAATTGAAATCAAGTCTGTAAGAATTACACACACCTAACAAGGAAACGTGTATTGTGACCCCAACTTCCCACCCAGCTCAGGTTCCCCCACCCCCACCCCCACCCCCCTGTGGTTCTCCAGCCCAGGAACCATGCAGTGTAGAAAAAGCAAATATACAAACAATCCTATATGTAGCTAGGGTGAAATCTATTTTTATAAGAACTCGACACTTGGACTATTTACATCCAGGAGAAGTTTTGTTTTGTTTCGACGCAAAGAAAGTTCTGTAGTGTTCTCCTGGTTTTGCTGCAGGTGCATCCGCTGCCCTCTTTAAGCAGTTCTTTTTTCCTTTCCTGTGTGTCCTGGCTGAACAGAAAGGATGAGCCGGCTTGCTTGCTCGATTTTGGACACCCATTCTCCTTTAAGATGAAGCCTTCCCTCCCCGCCCCCAGCCCCGCCGAGGTCCCTCCCGAGGAGTTGGCCTTGGCGTTAGTTTGTTATTCTCTCAAGGTAAATGGCCGGCGCCGCCGACCGGGCGATGGTGGCGATGAAGCTGTGGTCGCGCCCGAGCTCCAGGCTGGGGGTTTCGTCCTGCTCCGGAGACACTGCTTCGTAGCCCTTGTTGACGCGGAGCGGCTGGTGAGCCTGGCAGTAGCCGATCACAGGCTGGTCGTAGCTGTAATAGGGCAAGGGCTTCACGTGGTGGGGGATCTGGGTGGGAGGAAGAGAAAGTCCGATTAAGAAAGTGCTCTGGAAAGATAAGAAGAGGGCATTCATGGCATTGTACTTAGTTCTCTTTCTTGCCCTTTTAAGGCATCAGATGCTGATTCTGCTATTAATAAACGTTAAACAGAGTAAGGATTGTTAGTATTTAACTTGATATTGTTTTGTCCAGATACATAAGCCTTACATATGATTTTATGTACAGTGTGTGTATGTGTGTATATATAATTTGTATATATACACCTTTTATGTAGTTGTGTGTATATATAGTTTATGTAAAAGTGTGTACTTTTTACGTATACTTTTATATGAAGTGTGTATATATACACATACATATGCATATACATATATATGTATATATATACACTATATATAAAATCATAAAGATGTTTTCATGTTCAGTCCTATTATCTTTCTATGTATGGTCATACAGACAGTTAAAAACAACCTAAATTCCCATCAACAGGGAATTTTAAAATATGTTAGGTAAGTTCACACACTTGAGTACGGGTATACAAAGACTGGGGTGTCTGTCTATTGTAATATGGCAAGATATGATATTAAGAGAAAACAATGTGAAAAGAATGTACAGTATGTTTCATTTTGTATAAGTACAAATATCAACATACATAGAGTTTTACTTTTAAAATATACTTATATACAATTAAAATCTTTATTGTGGGCATATATGTTTTATTTAAACTTTTTAAAAAATAATCACAATTTCCTATAGATTATTTCTAACAATTCTATAAATCCTGGGCCAAGAACTGAAGAATCATGAAAGTGGGCACATCCTTGTGTTCATAATATGTGATGTTATTGATTTCAAGCTAACAAGCCAAATATGTGTCTAATGTTGGAATAAAATGCCTGAATAGCTGTCTATAGAAATCCCTTTTCATAGGAAAAGCTAAAAATATTAAAATGCTAGTAATTTCAAGTCTGTGCAGCTTTTTATTAAACCACAAATTTCTGGTAAAGAAAAATAGAGAAAGGAATATGAGGGTTGCTTAATTCTTGATATCACACTAAGCATTTCTCATGACCCACTAGATCCAGTCTGATACTCTTGGTTAACAAGTCCACAGGTGATAGAATTGCAAACACTCCACTGTCCTCTCAGGCAAGAGATGTGGCAGTTTCAAGTATCGTCTCCCAGCTCCAACTCACTTGCCGTAGTTGGCTTTATGATGCCAGGCTGGGTCTCTGCAAACTACACTGCTGCTTGGCCTGCTGCTCCCTGTTAGACTTTAACAGTGGGCCCACTGGAGAGAGATGGCAAGACTAGAGGAGCTGGACGAAACTGACCCCATGGTGGGCTTCCTCTCTGCTTCTCCCTGCTCCAGGGAGCTACCTCACCAACACTCCTTCATATTGGTTGTAGCAGCACCTTCCCACAATAGCAGGCCATTCTGATTTGTAGTCTTCCCAGCATTTGATCCCATCATGTCCCCCTCAGAATCTCCAGCACCAAGGAAATCTGAGATGCATCTCTGCAAAGCTCTTTCTCCAAGCTTGTAATTTTACAGTTCCAACATCTTCGTTTAGCCCCTTGGTCCCACAGGTGGTAGGGCTGGCAGTTACTTCTAAAGCCGCTGCCTCTGTTACACTATGGCACTTTTAACCTTTGCACGAGCTGAGTTAATAACTCTGTATTTAGTTAGCAATTCATGCAAATGCTTTGTCAAGATAACTGATATATTGTCTGTCTCCCGATTAGACTATAGACTAGACTGTATCTGAGTCTTTCTGTAGGTTAAACTACAGAAATTAAGGTGTTATAATTTGGTAGAGAAGTTAACCCCCAAAGGCCTTATGGGTTAATTGTTCTGAAGGAAGTTAACCAGTGTTCTATCTAACTTGGCAGCCTTATTTTCACAATCCATTCTTCCTATTATTATATAAATCCCTCAAATGATCATGCAACTAGGTCTTGTGTTTTCTTCCTAGTATCCTCATTAATGTGTTAAGCAAAATTTTGACATAAATTATGTTTGTATGAGAATTCTGTTTTGAACACCTCTATGCTTATTAAGATGAAAGTCACTTTCTCACATTTTTAAAGATATAGATTAATGTTTCCTATGGAAGATCACAACTCATTACTAAGTTATAAAATCAAATTATGAATCCAGATAAACATTTTAAAAATTGAATTAACTGGAACAGAAAATATTAGATTATATCATGAATAAGGGTAAATTGCTTCATAGAAGTTTTGTTTCAAATTTGCGTGTTCATGAATGTGTGTTTACTGAGTCACACTGTGATTATTTGTTAAACTGGGAATCACAATAAAAGATGCTTCTAAAAATACTCAAAACACATACTCAGGTTGTACTTTATTTTAATGTGATCACAATAGCTAGATAAATTCCCTTGCTTCTTTTACGATTCTCTTTTTTTTTTTCAACGTTTATTTATTTTTGCGACAGAGAGAGACAGAGCATGAACGGGGGACGGGCAGAGAGAGAGGGAGACACAGAATCGGAAACAGGCTCCAGGCTCTGAGCCGTCAGCCCAGAGCCCGACGCGGGGCTCGAACTCACGAAACGCGAGATCGTGACCTGGCTGAAGTCGGACGCTTAACCGACTGCGCCACCCAGGCGCCCCTTCGATTCTCTTTTTTCTAACTCACATAACTCAGTTTTTCTGAGCGAATGAGAAAATTAAGCCAATATATATTTCTTTATTTTTGGATGAGACACGTTGACTTCTAAATGGAAGGTCAACACTATTTTCATCAAGTCTTAAGAAATAGTAAAGGAAAGATAATTTCTCATCAAACAAGATGTTGATATAACCTGGAATATACAATGCTGTTCTCAAAAAAATCTGAACAAGAATACATACTAGGTCAAAATTTTTATTGACACAGAAATGTTTTAGACCTTAGACATTAATTTCTGGGCTGAGAGTGAGAACAAGGAACAAATTAGAGGACAACATGGCTGAATTACTAGATGAAAAATGTATTTATAATATAAAGTTAGGTTTGCCCTCAATCTATGGTGGGTTTTTTTTTTTTCTTACTCATATAGACTTCTCCTTATAAATCAGTACAGGTCCAGACATGAAATGTTTGTCAGCAAGTTCTATTTTAGGTCACCTCATAGGATTTTGCTGTGTGTCAGATAGGTAGAGATATCTGTGATTAGTGTCATGGGTCACCAAAACTCTGAAAAAGCATAGAAATGAAACCACTTCATTGTGACATTTCAGCAAAAAGAATTTTATGAAGACCTTCTTAAGACTTACATATTTCATTCTTACTTTTTCATCGTTAACAGGTGGAATAGTACAACTCTAAAACAAAAAAATTCACCAAATGATTTCCAATGACAGCAACATTCACTGGTCACAGAATATGTGTTGCACACTTTCACTGAAATGAATGACTCATCGTCAACAAAATAGCCAAATTACTAAAAGGCATCAAAATAAACATTAAGCATGCGTTCTGGTTTTGTCCACTATCTCGTAGTACCATGGATAGTTCTCCAGTCACCCATGAGAAGATGCCTGAACTACAAACATAACTTGGATGAGCGGTAAATGCAAAGTGAGACAGGGTCCTACAGACCCTACTAAAATTGAGTTCATCTACAAATGAAAACTTATATGTGAACTGTGTTCCGTTTTCATTGTAAAGTTCCAAAAGTTGAACTAAAATGGGAACAAACAACTTCATATCTAAGCCACAGTGGCATTTACCTTCAAATTAAGTTGATTCAAATGTCCAGGGACCTGCATTAACTGCAGAACATCAGGTTCATATATTCCATCATCTCTGAACTCAGAAAATTTGTTTTGCTATTACATTGGACCAGTTTACTTTTTACTTCAATGAACAAGGGCTCCTGCCATTTTCTCTATTGTATTTGGAGACAGGCTTAGAACTTCCAGCAGGACAAAAAACATTGTAAAACTCCCTCCTGCACAACAGCCCAATAGCAAGAATTGAAAAGCCCAGTAAATTGGCAAGCTCTGAAAGGATATCCGAGATGTTTGCTCATTTACTCTTAAAATCTATTCTGCAGGGCACTATGTAATCAACTGATTTTGTGGTTTTCAAGGAGCTAAGAGACTGAGGTCTTGTATTTTATAGTAATAATGTACAGTACATTAACCACCTGGGTCCCTGTGTGTATCATTGTTTCCTTTCCAGCAGTCAAAACAAAGTATCCTTAAGTTCCCCTTAATGTGTCTTTGATATTTTTGTAAATGTGTTCTTAGAGCTTTTCCAAACGGTCCCTGTGTTCCGTCAGCTCTCTGACGGACTTCGTTCTGTGGCACAGCACAACAACACTACTTAAAGATGGCCTCATTCGTATGCTTCACTGCTCATTGATTGCTTTGGAAACTGCACTTTATTTACAGATAATAGGTGTGGTACATGGAACGAAGGAATCTCATCGGGGAAATATACTATCCTGAAATTCTGTCATTTGCTTCTCTCAAGAATGTGAACACTTTAACTCAAATTGGATTTAAACTTTTATAGAGGCACATAAACTTCTATAAAGGCATATTTCATAACTAAATCTGAGGTAGGTTACAAAGGGGAAAATCATTATAGTCACTAATTATACGTCACTTTAATCCTGCTGAGTTTCCTGCAAATCCCCTGAAAATGGGGGTAATAATGACATCTCATTCACCTCTATAAATTTCAGATAACTCTAAAAGTATTCACTGATTCTCAAGAAAGCAGGAATACACTGGCAAGACATATCTACCGTAGCTTAACTCAACACTGACAGTGTCTTTCCTGGAAATGTTCCCTGTGTTTTGTCTTACAGTTTCCATTCGAGAGATGCAAGGTCTTGAGGGGTCACAGAGTGGTTCATTAACAGAGGCTCTCAGCCCTACTTTGTGCACTCAGAAGCTTAGATACCTTAGTGGGTGTCCTGGCTTTCTGAAAATATCATTTACCCTTTGCCTAGAATATGTGTTTTTTCTACCGTGCTGGAGAGGGTGGAAAA